CTAATAATTCCATTAGAGGCCGTGGCAGGACGGGCGCAGCGTAGCGGGTCCAAAGAAAGGCCGCCGGCTCTGCCGGTGCACTGCGGAAAAAAATTAATCCAACCTATAGGCAATATCGGAAAAGCGCCTGCGAACCGCAGGGTAGGCAACGTGCTGGACTACTGTGTGTTGCGGGCTGGCCCACCATGGAGAGCGCCTGCGGAACGCAGGGTAGGCAACGTGCTGGACGACTGTGTGTTGCGGGCTGGCATGGAGCGCCTGCGGACCTGGACGACTGTGCGTTGCGGGCTGGCATGGAGCGCCTGCGGACCTGGACGACTGTGCGTTGCGGGCTGGCATGGAGCGCCTGCGGACCTGGACGACTGTGCGTTGCGGGCTGGCATGGAGCGCCTGCGGAACGCAGCGTAGGCAACACTGCGTGTGGCCGATGTGGGCCTTCCGTCCCGCCCACGCCGCATCCCCTATCTGGCGGCACGGGTCGTTGCCGTTCTGAGAAGAATGTTGAAAGCGGGCCTTGGCAGGGGTTCCGGGAGGGGAGCCGAACAAGTTTCTGACGTGCGCAGAATAGACAACGGCGGAGAAGACAACGCCACTTCCTGAGCTGCACTACTCGACCATGTCCTTCCCCGGGATCGGTGCAGGGGCCACACGCACGCTCCAAGTTCCGGGCCGCCACCCGGAGTGGGGGGGTGCGAGCGTTTTTGGGCTGATGAGTCTCGGTATGTGCAGAGCGCGGCGGCTTGCACGAAGGGGTAGCCTGTCTGGATACGGGCGCACCGACCCGCGGCGTTCCTCGGCCCACTCGTTCCTGCAGTCCCTGGAAGGCAGCGCATGCGCAGCGCGCCGCGCGGACCGTTTTTTACGGGCGGAAACATTCGGGGACCGTCCCGAGGAATAGTTGCGCTACCTTCGCAGAAAACAGGGGCTCTTATTGCCGGCCAAGTTTCCCAAAGAGGAAGTCGCTAGTGGAGCTCGGGGGGAGGCCGTTCCCAGGACGAGGCACGGAGCGGTGGAGGGAGGATTTTTATACGCTCGAAGCGCGATGCTCTTTAGGAGAGGCAGTGGTAAGCCGCGACCGGGTGGGACTGTCACAAACACCAAATTCTAACGATTACGATCCGTTTGATTTTGATTCCGTCGTGAGACCATCGGACGAAAATTCACAGTGAAAACAATACATTAATGTTTCACCTGGCGGAAAGCTGACACGACTCGAATCTGTAAAGACGGGGGCGCGGGCGGCACGATGGGCGAGGCGATCCGAAACCCCGCCGTTTAGCGGGGATTCCATTTGGGATTGGACCGGCGCCTCCAGCGCCGCGGCCGCGGCCGGCGGCACGGCCCCCGGTGGGGCCCCCGGTGGCCCCCGTGCCCGGGCACCCCCGCGCCACGCCGCGCCACGCCGCGCCCTTCCTTACCCGCTGCACTCGGACCGTTTTTCCTGATGTAAGGTCGATTTATGCCAGTGAAATTCACGAGGAGAAATGCCGGCTTCCTTGCACATAAACCTCACGTCCCCAGCGGAGCGCGGCCAGGGGAAGTGCGTGTGTGTGTGTGGGTGTGTGTGTGTGAGAGTGTGAGTGAGGGGGGAGTGCGAAGGGATGACGTGGAGTGAGTTCATTCGCAACCCTTCCTGCCAGAACCCCCAACCTTTTCACAGCCTCCCTCCCCCCGCTCCCCCCCCCTCTCTCTCTCTCTCTCTCTCTCTCTCTCTCTCTCTCTCTCTCTCTCACACACAAACACACACACACATACACACACACACAGTGGCGGCCGACTTTCACGACCTCCGCGCGTGTACGATTACGCGGGGATGCATATAAAACGTGTACGCTCGCTGTTTAGAAGGCCTCTCCTCTCCTCTCGCTCGCGAGGCCCTCGAGACTCTTACAAATTTCCGCACGGCAACAAGAGCGCGGTCGCTAACAAGCTCGCGTCCCGTCTTCGAGTCGCTGCAGCAGCCTGCTGTCCGTCTCTGTCCTTCCCGCGGCCTCGCCGAGGGCCTCGGCCGTCCCGTGCTGTGCATCCTGCTAGCGGTTCATTTGCACGCCCCGCCACCGAGAGCTGCAGTGGAATCCCTGCGCCGAAGCCCAAATGGCCGGTCCCCGCTTCTTGTGCGGCAGTGACGACACCCGCCTCGCTGCAGAGTACACCCGGGACCCGAATCATGCCCCACTCCGAGCGGTTCGAGACACGACCTGTACAGTAGAGCTCTCCGTGCTCAAGACATCGGCCCTGTGTTGGTGGTGTGCCTAGGCCGGTCCAGGCCGTCCCCCCGTCTCCGCCGTTAGTTAACCCGCCGCTCTGTGGCAGCGGCAGACCCCCCCCCCCCAACCCTTTCCCCTCCCCGCGTCACGGAGGCCCGCCAGCTAACAAGCTGAGTACGAAAGATATGCAGGGAGGGCCCTCAGACCGACATGAAGGGGGGAGGGGGAACAATGCAGCATTCGCGCATCAACTAAGACGCCCAAAGTGTTATTTGCTTTTGACTGATGTTCACGCCAGTCGACGACGGTGCGTCATTTCTGCCAGGCGATGACTGCGGTCCTGCAGAAGCTGAACTATGTGGTAGAATTTGAAGCCTGGACACACCGGTGCCAAGCTCATCCGAACTCAGAAGCTATGCGGGCGGCTCGAACCCCATCTCTGGGAAAGAGGGTTGTATGGTATCATTTTTTGTTTAGCACAATGAAACTTCCGTCGCAAGGCTGCTGTTGTTTTGGTTCGGGCTGTTAATGTTGTTTGGTGGCAGCGGCGGCGGCGGTCGGGAGGCGCGACGACTTCCACAGTTAGGTCGGACAAAAAGAGCAACGTCCATTAGAACTTAGATGATCGACCCAGTACAGTTGCTTTTAGCTTTTTTAAAACCAAAGCTTGCATGCGGAGATTCAGGCTGTCGACACGACGCCGGGCCAGAGCTATTGTGGCAAGTGTAGGGTGGCCGTCGCGTCGTCGCCGTCGTCGGGGCAGTGGCGGCCTGTGCCCAGGGACGAGCGGAATTAAATTTATAATTCTGGCGTCTATTTTTAGGTTCGCGGGCTTGCGGGAGAACGAAGACCATTATACATCGCGAGACTGTGTCATCCCTGAGCGTCTTTGGAGATCGCTCAAAAGTCTCCGTGTCAGAGGATATCGGTGTGCGGGCATCTGTAGCCGAAATAGACGAATCGTCTGGAGGCTTGCCGCTATTGCCGAAGACTGAATGTGACTGCCATCGAGCATCGAGTGATGTGTCGCCTGCCAGTCAACTACGTCTAAATTTGCTACTTTATCGTTTAGCCATGCTTCGTCACACTTTCAGCCCAAGGCATTGAACCTAACCTAACCTAACCTAACCTAACTTAACCTAACCTAACCTAACCCTGCTCGAACTCGTGCGGAAGGGAGCCTTGCGGGTGCTCCTCGGGGGTGGGGCTCGGGGCTCAGGCGTGGCGCGCGCTCCGGAGAACGCTGCGTCGTGTTCGCGGCCGTCATATTTTTGCATGGATTCTGGTGCACGTTAATTCGACGAGGCGCAGCTGGTTCCCTGGCTGGTCTGGGCCCGCCGTGCCCCAATAATACAGCTGTGCTTGGAGCCCCGCCAGCCCCGCCAGCCCCGCCAGCACCGAAAGCCCGCCAGAGAGAGCCGTCGTGTCTCCGCGACCCTCTCTGCAGTGTAACTTCTCAGTCCGATTCGATCACGTTACTGCTGACAATTGCCAGCCGCGGGCGTTTTTGAAAAAAAAAAAAAAAGACGACTGTGCCAATATGAGCGGATGTTTCGCTCGAAACACGCGGGCGGGGGTTTCCCCGGGTGGCTTGAAACGAAACTGGGTTTCAATTCGAGACACGCTTACCGCTGTTTATGCCCTGGTGGGACTCGGGGGTCCCGTAAATCTCCCGGGACTGAGAGGCAGGGGCGCCCTGCTCTGCCTGCCCTGGCCGCCCTGCTGCCCTCGAACCCATCCCGTCCGCCCCGACTCACTCCGCGTGGGCGGAGTCCGATTGAGGCCCCGTCCGTCCTACCCGTCTCGGGCTGGCGCGGCAAACTCTCCGAGAAAGGGTCACCAATTCTTAGCGGGATCTTCATTTCGGCGTCCACCCTGCTGTCGCCGCCTGCCGCCGCCTGCCGCCGCCCCGACCCACCCGACCCGGCCGCCTAAGCCTCCGGGCTGTCAGATAGATGCTACAATTTAATTAAACCCTCAATGGGGGGATCTGGTCCCCCCCCACCCCAAGAATTCGGTAGCGCGCGTGCGCGTGTAGACGAACACACACACACACACACAACATCAATGTAATTTCATATTGCCCCCGGCGCTAAGTCGTCTGCAAAGTCTGCGACGAAAGGGCTCTCTGGTAAACGTTTTCCCAGTGTCATGTCAAGTGTCAGGAGGTTGCTACGGTGGGGAGATTTGTCGCAGCGTCCAATAAGCTTTCGTTGCCCGGAACGCAAAGCGACTGACTGAGCTCGGGGTAAGACACCTTATATGCTTTTGAGTGTGTGTGTGTGTGTGTGTGTGCGCGCGCGCGCGCGCGCGTCGGTGTGAGTGCGGGTGAGAGCGCGAAGACGGAGTCTTTGTGGGACCGTCTTTCAATGGACGGGGACGCGTCCACATTCCGGCCGTTCCCGCGTTCCGGGCGGTCATGCGTCACCCCAGTATGATAGCGGCGCTTTGCCGGCCGTTCAGGGCGGGCCGGGGCGAGTCGGGGCGGGTCGGGGCGGGTCGGAACGGGTCGGGGCGAGGCATTGACGCTTTTGGCGCGAAAAATGACTTTGACGGGGAAACAAAGGTCGCGCGACAAAAGGCAGCTTGGTTGGCCTTTAGTGCCTTTAGCGCCTCTAGCGCCTTTAGCCGCGAATTGACCAGGAATGCTCTGCTGACGTCACGCTGGCCATCCATCTTTGTGATGACAAAGCCCGTTCGGAGTCCAGTTTTCTCATCCCCTCGAACCCCAGGACTGAAGTGCTTGCTGTCGACACCGCGAGATAGTGGGGTTGGAAAAAAACAGACAAAGAGTAAAATTTTCCAACTATCTTTAATGTTCACTGCAGATTCAACATTGAACAGAGTCGTCAACATTTAAGTCTAGCCAGAGGATTTAAAGGTTGATCCAGACAACTAGTCCCCACTGAGACAACCACCATACATCACACTCAAAGCTTACTTCCCACATTCGTTTGATTTCGGCTCACAATTTATAATAAAGTTTACTTTCACATTAATGTCTTTTTCAAACGCTCGGAACGTACGTGTCACATTGCCCTTGGGACAAAGCTCAAATACTATGCAAAGCCGAAAAGTATTGTACAGATTGCTTTGTTCCTGCTGAACCACATGAGTCTGGAAGGTCGGATTGGACTGGGACACAGAGGAAACAAGGAGATTTCGTACCGACGGCTAGCTTATTTTTCGTCACTAATCAAGAAGTTAGAACCAGGGTCGTGCTCATTCGATTTGAGAGATTTTACCCGTATTCTTATTTTTCTCTAATGAAATACAAACTTCTAATCTCAAGTTTTAAAAAAATCTGCTTTTGTACAAAAAAATGGGATGATGAATGACGAATTATACACTTGTCATTGATGGATCAGTAATGCAGTGTGTACTGAGAAACGGCCATAGCCACAGATTCCTAGGTAATTCAGATATGATTTCCTGAAGAAAATTAATTTACAATATTTGTCTGTAAAAAAAAAAAGATATGAACTTCACCGGCACTGCTCAGCAAATAGCAGTACTCTTGCTTTATCGAAGTGTTCTACTTATGCAAAGCTATTTTTCACACGAAACTCGCCGAAAGTTAACTGAACTCTATAGGTCATTAAAAACACGAGATCCACAAGAACTTTGCATTTTATGGAATGCTTAGCCATGAGGTATTTTCTCAGTAGTCTCCGTGACATGAATTGTATAGGTGATGCAACTATCAAAAAATATTTCAACTCATTTTCTACACAACGTGCTAAAATGACCACTGAGGACAGAAAATACAGAAAATATCAGTAGACTTACACTTAATTTTCCTAGTCTAACGTCTATAAATAATAGCACCATTGTTTGATTTTGGTAATTTAGCTGAGCAGTATTGACTCCTTGAGGAATACAATTATTTTGTATCTATTGGTTACTCCCCTTGAGCATAACATGGTTACTTTTACCATATTTCAAAGCCTTCAGTGCTCAGAAACAAGCTAGCTCTCGGTACACGACTGAAGAGGATAATATTCGGTCAACATACTTTGATACCCAAGGGAAAGCAGTACTGAACAGTTACTACACAAACATAATTTAATTACGTATTGCTGTTCAACGTCCACCTAAAGCAGATTCCTTTCGACACAAACGGGGTAACTAGGAAGGTCTACTCTCCATCATCCTCTCCTTCCTAAATAGAAATAATTAAGGAAACTGCAGGGGATTTACCGTAAACAACATTACTCATATAACATTTATAAGATTTTAGCAGGTAGGAGGAGTCGGAAAGGAAATAGGAGGGAAGAAGAACGCATATGTAAACATACTGCAGACAGACTCATATTTGATGTTACAGGAAACAATTATTGCATTTTGAATACTGACACTTAGAAAAATATTTGAGCACGGATGCATAGATTAGTAGCTTACAGCCGAGGCAGTTATGGACCCATCATAGATGATTACCTCCTCTCATTTAATTTTGTACGCAGACCATTTTGTCACAACACAGGACCATAAAAACACATTGGGCCGAGCTAGCAAGACAATTCAAGACTATGATAGAAGTGAGAAGTTTACTACGCCCTAGAAAATATAAGGTTTCATTTCTAGATTGTCACTAAACTTGGAACCAACTAGTGGCGTCACGAGAGGAAGCGGTCGCAGAGGACAACCGAACGGGGGGACCTGGCCGCCAGCGCGCTAGCGTTGAAGCGCTCGGTATAGCAAAGGAGCGGCCAATGAGATCAATTCTGGCGAATTGCGCCGCATTGTTGAGGTGAAAGGAAGGTGCGGCCAGGTCCGCGCGTTAAGCCTGCCCCGGCGTGCCCCCTCCTGCTGTTCGCGGAGCGTCCACCGTCGGGGAGGGAGCACGCCAAGGTCACGAGTTAGACTTCAAAAATCCATTTAATAAAATAAAATGCTTTTTATCTCTTGATCTGTACAAATTATTATTATTTTTTTACATCGTATCTAACATTACACTGTACATATGTACACGTGAGAATACTAGCAAGTATCACAATATGGGTAGCACGAACATAATGAAATGAATCATTGGTATAAAAAAATGAATGATATAATTATTATTAATATTATTATTTATATAAATATGAAATATGTACAAAAATATCATCAATCTGGCCCGGGAGACTTGGGTATCTTTCCTTGTGCTGCATTTTGTGAAGGTACAAGACGAACGAACAATCGAATTGAAAAATAAAAACATACGCAATCTAAATTAAACAGTCTCCAAGCACTCTGTAGTATTGCGCTCGCACTAAAATATCGAGGCGGGGGTGGAGGACATGAACACTACTGCACTCTCTCTGTCCTTAAGTAGTTTTTAGGTACATGGGTTTCATTTTTGATTCACTCGAGGGCGGCCCGCACCTCGCCCGCTCACTCCCGATTGCGTCCAGGTTCACCTCCAGGTTCACCTCCGGGTTCGCGTCCAGGTTCACGTTCACGTCCAGGTGGCGCACATGCTGGGGTCGCTGTCCGGGGAGCTACCCGAGCCACTGGCCGGGGCGCTGCCTGGCGCGGAGTAGGCGGGGCCCGGTGGGGCCGTCGGGGGTCGTCACAGACTGCTGCCGAACTCTGAGGAGCGTCTCCGGTCGATGTGCCGCAGGTACGTCTCCGAGTACACGCTCTTGGTGCGGTCGTCGAAGCGCAGCGACGGCCGCCGCATGTCCAGCGCGTCCAGGTCGGACGGCGGCCGCCGGCACAGCGAGCAGAAGGCGCACTGCAGCGTGTTCTTGAACGCCTCCCGGAAGTCCCGGTTGAAGTAGGCGTAGATGAGCGGGTTCAGCGTCGAGTTGAAGTAGCCGATCCAGAAGAGCAGCGCCACCACCACGTCCGGGCAGTAGCACGCGTCCCCGCACAGCGTCGTGATGACGTACCTGCGCAGCACCAGGGCGTTAGAACTCAGCCAATCGTCCCAGAGGCTTCCGGCAAAGGACACAATCAATCAGGGGCGTATGCAATCAACAAAAACAGCCACGGCCGCACCGAGGCTAAGTGCCGCGTCCCTCAACATTGACACTGGAGTCCTGATTGGCCGGCTCGGGTGGCGCAGCGTGTAGCCCACTCTGTAATCCAGCACCCTGCCCCTGTCGGGGCGACGGCGGCGGCGCCAATCGGGGATGATGGCCAGGCCATGGCCCGCCGCGCCCCGCCGCGCCCCGCCGCGAGGCACTCGTCGCGATGGAAGGTACTCACCACAGGAAGAAGGGCAGCCAGCACAGGATGAAGATGCCCATGATGATGCCCAGCGTCTTGGCGGCCTTGTGCTCCCGCTTCATCTTGATGATCTGCCGGTCCTTGGTGGGCGTACTCTGCGCCTGCTCGTGCAGCGTGAGGGCCTTGTTGGAGCCGCCCGACGACGACAGCGCGTCGCCGTTGGTGGCGCCGTGGTTCGTCGACATCATCATGGCGTTGCCCATGCGGTTGTGCATCTGCTTCTCCTGCCGGTTGGCCTCCTTGAAGATGGCCAGGTACGTGAAGATCATGATGGTGCAGGGGATCCAGAAGGAGATGGATGACGAGATGATGGCGTACAGCTTGTTCACCTGCGCAGACAGAGTGGGGGAACTTGGTTATGCTTTTTGTCCGGTCCTGCTCGATTACGCACGCGGCCGCCTGAGTCGGCAGCCTATCACGCCACGCCCGGTTAGAGTAATCAACCTCACACGCGGCGCGCGCGGCATGATGCAGCCGGAGTGACGGAGCGCTAATTCAATTTCCAGCCTCGCATGAGCCGCGCAGCCGCGCGCTCCTGCCCCCAAAATAATGGCACCCCCTTGAATCCGGCCGCCAGCCGAGCGCTTGCCAGCCCCTCCCCCTCCAACTCCGAACCGAAATGAATGAAAAATGTCCCCGTAGTTTGGCAACACTCCCCGAGGAGGCCCGGCAGTCCGGGGCGGCAGCCCGGCCAGCGCGATCGCCATCCGATACTCGGGCCATAATTTATTCGCCGGTCCAGCGCGGTCCGCCCAGCCAGGCCGGCCTGCCCGCGGGGCCGCGCCCATTCATCTGCATTAGGGGCGCGTATGTGCGTGATCACGTTATGGCGCACGTTTTTAGACTAAAAAATTTTAATAGTGAAAAAAATACGGGGGTGGGGATTTGAATTTTGGCTGTGACGTGTTCGCTCAACGTGCTTTACCATACAGTCCGCGCAGGGCCGAGCGGGGCGGTGGCGCGGCTCGCGTTTTGCAGCTCCTGAACTACGCCACCGGTAATGGGAGGGCCTGCTCTCATCACGCTGCGTCAGTCAACGCAGTTTCATTCCGGCAGGGATTAACGCGCAAAGGGAAAACAACAACATTCAAGAACAACAAAGATTTTAAAACCGACGAAATGATATCACACGTTATTCGTAGTAGAGGTTGAGAGGAATAAAATTCAGTTATTTCTGGAGGGGCGAGGTTACTCAGATGCAAATAAATTCCACACCGCTTAATTATTTTTTAGGAAACAAAAAGTTACGTATGCGCTCCACCATCATGCTTTCAGAAAGAATTAAAAATGAAAGTGGGCGTCTTTTGTTCCGTTGAAAGTGTCCGCGGAGAAAAGGTTCGGGGCGCGTGACAGCGCAAGGTGTGGCAGGTAAGTACCTTAATCCCAGCATGAATAAACTAGACTTCCGCTGGCGCCTGGAAAGAAAGTTGCGGGACTCTCTTGTTGGTGGACGGCTGGCTGCCTGCCGGCCTGCCCTGCTACCGCTTTGCGACCCAGCGAGAGGAAAGTTTGGCTGCTGAAATGGCGGGGGCGGGGATGCCGTGCCGTGCCGGGCACGACGTCGTTGAGGGCGGTGAGCGTGAGACGCGGTGTCCGATACCTTGGAGGCCATCCGCTGGTACCCGCCTTGTCCCGCTCATCGACAAGAAGACACGGCCAACGTCACGCGGAAAACGGGCCGGGGAAATAGAGTAGACGGCGCCCTCCTCGCGTCCACCCACAAAACTTGCTCCTCGTGCTTTGCCCAGCAGGAATTCCTTTAAGACTATTCATTGGTAGCTGTGCAATGTTTGCAGACGCGGGCGCTGGTTTTACGGTGTCCGAGGAGGTTGTCCCTCCGAGAACGACGGTGGCGGCCGCGTCTCACCGAGTCCCGTGCGTCGGGAGCGTCCTTTCGAAAAACGGGTTACCCTGTGTTGTTCACAGCGCCGTTAAGCTCCTAATGACATGCCCGCCTCCAGTTCGCTCCATCTGGCAGATTTGAGAGGAAAAAATGAAACATAAAGAGAAAATCCGTTGGCGTCGCCCGGTCGCGTTCCGCGCCGCGTCTTGCCTCGTAAAAGCCCTAGGGATGCTCCGCACCGCTCCGCACCGCTCCGCTCCACCTGGAGGAACCGTAAGGGTTGTCGGCACATCGTCCAAATCCTCTCCAGCGCGACAACTGGAGACCGACTGGAGGCCTGGCAGCCGACCGGAGACCGGGATGGGATGACGGCTGTGCAGCAGCACACAGCAGGTACAGCAGGCCGGGGGGGCTTACGGGAGCCCGACAGCCTCAGACCATCCTCCCGGATTTTTGTTTTTAAATCGCGACCCAAACAAACAAAAATTCGATACGTAAAGCAAACACTTTGCGCTCTGCGCTCCCCGTTCTCCTTCTTGCTGCCCGGGCCCTGGCGCGACCCTGGCGGGACCCTGGGGCTCCACGGCGGCGCAGACACAGTCGGGACGCATGTGCACACGGACCATGCGCTACAAAGGGCTGCCGGAACCAAAGCGGCCCGAAGGGCCGAACCAAAGCAACCTAATCAGCTTCGGCCTCGGCCACGGCCACGGCCCGGCCACGGCCCAGCCACGGCAAGGGATGGCGCCCTAATCCCGGACCCGGCCTCGGCCTCGCCTCGTTCCGTTTGCCCAGCGCGCCCCGCCCGCCTCGCCGCCCGCCTCGCCGCCCGCCTCGCCGTCCCACAGTCGTGCAAAGGGAATCGGGGCCCGTGCCGCGGCCGTGCCGGGTGGCTGGGGCCTCGCTGAGGCCGTGACGGGGAGGGGCGGGGCAGTCCTGCAGCGTTCCGGGGGCGCCACCCTTATCTGTAATTGATGAAAACACACCTGGCAAGGAGGCGACAGCCCGCCGCGCCCCGCCGCGCCCCGCCCCGCCTCAAGCACTCTGGCCACTGCGCTTACAGCTCTAATCCTGCCCAGCAGGGCGGCCAGGGCGCGAAACAGCCGCGCGTGGCGCCACCTGGCGCGTCGCACAGCAGCTCGCACTGGAGCAGCTCACACTGGAGCAGCCGAACTCAGCGGAACTGCGAGCGTCTCCCGTCTTCCGCCCCCATAGCTTGCATGCGAGGCCGTGCTCGGCGAATCAGGGCGAACAATGGCAGGGCGCATCGGTGTGAAATCGTTGCGAGAAGGAAACAAGCTCCGAGAAGGCAAATGGTTTAGATGGAGAGTCATGCCATGCCAGGCTGCTGGGCGGTTCCAGGCGCCAGTGGAGAACAGCATAACTCGGTCCCAATGAACGTCCGATGGATTTGGGAACTGCCATGGCACGACTGGCACGGCGCAGCGACGGGTCCACCTCCCGGTCAGACTGAGTCAGACGGGGCGAGCGTGTCGTGAGCGTGGCGTGAGCGTGGCACCGGGACGCGACGCCGCGGACACTGCAGCCGGGCCGCGGCCCCGAACCAAACCGCAACACAAAGCGGGATTCGCTTTGGGAACAGTGGCGGCGCCGTGCCGCTCCGCCTGGCTATAGCCAGCCACCCGCGAAGTGAACGGCCCCGTGTGTCTGTCTGCTTCGCGTCTCGTCGGCCACGTCACGCCCCGAGCAAACACGCTCTCCCGCTGTATTCCAACCCATTAAAGACGGACAAAAAAAAAAAAAAACACAACAAGAAAAAACGGTCTTGTTTGCCGCGCGCAAACCTCATTTCGCTCCGCCGTCTACAAACATTTATTATTTCACCTAGACACGAAGATAAAAGCGGGGGCCCAATCAGCGCGCCGTTTCGGCCCTTTTGAAATCGACAATAGCGAACTGTCGGCGGGGCCGCGGAGGCCGTCGTCGCGGTGATCCACCCCGCGTGACCTTGACGGGGGCGCTCGCGGCAAGGCTCGCGGCCCCGGGGACGCCGCATAAAGACATAAGACAACGCGGCCCCACACGAAATCAGCAGAGGGGTGGGGAGGAATTCCCTCACGGAGGGCGCATAATTTCTCCCCATCTGGAGGCAGCCGGGCCGGGCCGGGCCGGGGCACAGCCAGCCACGCCCCCTGCTTAGGGAGGGCGCGGCGGCGTGGCGTGGCGTTTGGCAAAATGCAGGACGCGGCCTCAGCCACGCATTCCCCGGCCAACCCTCCCTGGGGCCGCTGGGGCCGGGGTGCCGGGCCGGCCGCGGAGCGGGGACCGTTATTACTGCATGGCGGGGCTCGCGTTATGAAGCGCTCCTTTTCATGGCCCCGCCATGGGCCCCGCCATGGGCCCCGCCATGGCCCGCCGCCGCCATGGGCCCCGCCATGGGCCCCGCCATGGGCCCCGCCATGGGCCCCGCCATGGGCCCCGCCATGGGCCCCGCCATGGCCCGCCATGGGCCCCGCCATGGGCCCCGCCATGGGCCCCGCCATGGGCCCCGCCATGGGCCCCGCCATGGGCCCCGCCATGGGCCCCGCCATGGGCCCCGCCATGGGCCCCGCCATGGGCCCCGCCATGGGCCCCGCCATGGGCCCCGCCATGGGCCCCGCCATGGGCCCCGCCATGGGCCCCGCCATGGGCCTGGCCCTCGCCATGGGGAGGGGCATCCAGCCGCCACGACAGCTCGGCGCCCCGGCTAGACTTGGTCGCCCTCCTCGGCCGCCGAGTGGGCCCCTGCCCTAACCACAGACAAAGCCGGCAGGCTTCTTCTATTACGAGCGCCGAAAGTGAAAGCGTTCCCACAAAGAAACGTCAAGGGGGATGAGGACGGTGCGAGGCTATTGAAAATTCGGCCCAGACGCCTCCCCCCCCCCACCCGCCTTCGACAGGGTATCTCGATAATTGCCGGCAGGAACGTGTGAATCGGATGTTTCATCTTGTTTTTTCCCCCTGCAGGCGAGCGATGTCAGAAGCAGATAAAAAAACGACATTGTTTTATCCGACGCGAAGACGGCGGTTTTCCCTTTGAGTGCGCATCTCCGCCATAAAAAGGGCCACAACCCGGCCAGCCCATTCCGCTTTATTCCCCAGAAAGGTGATCATTTTCAGACTTTTGACAGATGACTTTCTCGAAGGAGATGAGGCCATCGGCTACGGGGCGCAGCGAGAAGGACAAAAAGGCGGTCTCCGACTCGGCGAAATGCGCGAGCCCCTGGTGGGGCCACCCGTCTTTGGCCACGGGCCCCAAGAGTGCGCCTGGCTGTGCTCACCTTGAACTCGCACCGGTCCGGGTGCATGTCCCGGAAGGCCTGGTGCTCCTCCGTGGTGTACCAGCCCAGGAAGATGGGCACGAAGCTGATGATGGCGGGCGACAGCCACGTGTTGAGCAGCATGACGCCCACCACGCGCTTCGTCATGCTGCGCGGGTACTTGAGCGGCATCACGATGGCGTAGTAGCGGTCCACCGAGATGCAGCACAGGTGCAGGATGGACGCCGTCGAGAAGTACACGTCCAGCGAGTTCCACACGTCGCACATGAAGTAGCCGAACAGCCACCGGCCCGTGATCTGCAACAAAAAAACATGGTGCATCAGCCACAAAAAGAAGTGCAGGTCTTGCCCACGCATTACCGGAGCGACTCCCATCTCGCAATGAAGAGCCCAACCGGACGCCGTCTGATTGGCCGGCCTAGGGTTCCTTTCTGTGAGGGTGGGGACAATGCCAAGACGACCACTAACGCGGGAACACACGCACACACACACACACACACACATATATACTTGACTGGGCAGGACATAAAGGGGCTGCCTTGGAAGTTGGTCCTTGCAGTCCAGTGGCGTCCCAGACAAACCTATCAAACTGCTCCGGCCCCGACCCAGAGCCTTTGCCGTTCCCCTTTTGCCGAAAAAAAAGGGACGCTGACCGGGATGAAAAATTTGTCGGGGAGAGGGTGGGTGAAGCGGAGACGAGAGCGAGACCGACCAGCCAGGTGCGTGCGGCCGTGAGGGTAGGGTCTGCACAGCCGCGGCAAAGCCTCGGCACAGCCACGGCACAGCGTGCACACTAGGCCGTAATGTCTTTATTGGCCCCCGGCCGGCGTCCTGGCCATCCAGGCCGTTCCAGGCCTCCCTGGTGTCCCCGACGTGCCCGCGGCGGACGTGGCCCGGCCCACGCCGTGTCGGACCACACCGCACGTCGCTCTGTACAAACGGGGAACCGATAATTGTCCCAAGTGACCTCCGCCGGAAATTCGCCGCGCTGCGCCGAATCGTGTGGAGGAAGCGTTACGCCAGCAGGATATGGCTTGAGGGGATGATTCCGAAGACGGCTTTCGCCACTCTGTCTCTCTCGCACACACTGGACGCGAGAGAGACAGAGCGATGAAAGCGTTCTTGGCGGAGCCCCTTCGCTCGCCTCCTGCACCGGTTCCAGGAAAAAAGGATGCGAGAGGTGTTCCTGGAAATTTCGCAAGATCTCCTGCTGCGGGTTCTTTACGAATGCATCTTTTCTGCGCTGTGCCGTGGCGGAGTACAGACGGAGTCAGCGTCTTTTTTTTCGTCCAGTGCACGCAGTCTCTCGGGCTCACTCACGACGGGTTGCGTGAGGTGAGGCGGAGCGGCGACACTGCGCAAAGTGGCCGGTTTAAACACTTGGCGGTGGAGGCGACGCGTGGGTCGCTGGCACGCCAGGCATCCGGTGACGAGGCTGAGCGGTGAGGCAGGCAGCAGGCCGCTTCGGCCCCCCTAGCATGAAGGGCTGGCAGAGAGGATTCGCTAATGTCTTCAGTAGCCCTCTCAACCCACACCGCGTCCAGGCTCCCCCTCCCTCTCTCTTGTTCGTAGGGCGTGTGGGTGCGAGAGAGACAGACAAGTCAGCCTGCCCAAGACCTGGCCCAAGACCTGGCCCACGGGATCCGGAATGTGCCGCGTCAGCCCCGCGTCAGATCGACGCCAGTCTCGAGCTGACCCACCCCGTGGCTCTGCTACTCTGCCGCTCCGCCGCCCTGCCGCTGTCTCTGCCGCTGTCGGGAAGGAGGGACGTCGGTAGGATAAGGGTTGCAGGCGGGCCCGGCCGGCGTGTTTTCCCAAGACACGAAAAAACAAATCAGTCGAGGAGCTCGGAAAGCAGATAAGTCGACTTCAATCACATCTTTCCTTCACTCCCCTCGACGGGTTCCTTTCTTTCGTCCTGTCGCACACGTACACGCCACGCGCAAAACGCGCGATTGGGTTTTGGCGACTTTAATTTCAAAGCGGAGAAGTCGCGCTTGGTGGGACAAGAAAAAAGCGCGCCAGTGGCCGTGGAAAAGAGTCAACATTCCCCTCACGACGATTGATTCGTCTTGAATTCGTTTGAAGTGTCCAATGTCAGCGAGGACGTCGCAAGCGACTGGGATGTTGTTGTTGCTTTTTTTTTTCGAGGGTGGGACACTGTCTACTCGGCTCTCGACCAGCTCGATCAGCCAACTCAAACACGCTGTGCCCCCTTTTCTGTCTGTCCCACCCTCGCGCTTCCAAGCCACCCCACGACGCCTTGCGCGCGCTTCCCCAGCACAATTCTTCCTTGATTTTCCCTCTTGTTTGTTTGCAATGTGTCACACGCAGATGCGCTGCTGGAAGCATGCATGCGAGAGTTCTGCCGTGCCTGTAGCGTTTGGCACCTATAAACAGCGACAGAAAAATAACAGTGTACTTCTATGGTGGGGACTCTGACACAATTCCAAAATGTACCCGTCTTGCGGAGCTCTCTTGCTTCTTCTACCCTTTTCTGATTCGGCCCAGGGAAACATTATTAAACGTTTACAAACATCTCGAAGTACCGTATTTAATTTTTAGCTGCAGTGCAGACGCATTGCGTGGACCCACACACACAAACGCACAAACATAAACACACTCACACACAGCCACATGGCTAGCCATCGTTAATCGCAGACGTGCGAAACTTGAGCCCAGCTGTCACACAGGGGTTGCCTCGAGTCACGTTATGTCACGTGATTTGTCACACACGCGCGCGTGTGTGACACTGTGACGAATACATGCCTTCGCAACGCGACGTCGGACAGGATATCCACTGTCGGACTGACGGCAGTGTAGCAAAGGCACATCGCGCAGAAAGACACTCTCCATTGCATGTCGTCGTAAAAGTACCATTGGGGTACTACGTCAGAGGGACCAACTAATCGTTTCAGAGGAGAGTTTCTTTTTTCCCTTAGGAATCTTGGATGGCCCTTTCGGCACACGTGGACCGTGAAATGACGACATAAATTTGCAAGTCGCGAAAAAGGTCCGGGCGAGAGGAGCCGGGTCGGGGCACAAGTCAAAGACTTAAGTAGAGCAAAGAAAATTAATTCGGTTAGTGGGCACGCTAAAGGTCGTGGGCCGTGGAGGGTTGTTGGCTGGCGGCCTGGCGGGCTGGCGGCGGTAGCGGCCTGGAGGGTGGTCCGGGATGGCTGAGCGAGCCCTTCAACCACCTACCGCCCGGACCTTGCCCCAGGGGAGCCAGGCGGGGCCCCAGCGGCCCCCACAGGGGACCCAGAGAGGACCCAGAGCGGACCGAGGGGTCCCAGAAGCCCCCGGGCGACTAGGGCCGGTTCCGGGCGAGATCACCACAAGTGACGATTTGCATTTAAATAACGCTCGTTTGATTCCAATCAGAGCTCCTCGGCGCTGGCATTATATAAATCATACATTTTTCATGTCGCTGCCGCCGCTGCCACCCTCGGAGCCTCCCCGGGGCTTTTCCGAGCCGGCGGCCTTCCAGAAGTGCCTGCTGATGCGGCGCGCCGAGGACACCCCGACCACTGCATCGTGTCGCCGCGTCTGGCCGCCACCACGGCAGAGCCTGCCTCCCTGCCCTCCTCCGTGAAGTAGAGATCCACCCGAGAGGCCGGCCTGCTCAGAGCAGCACCCGGATTCTTGACTTCACTTTTCATGGAATTTTTGACGAATACTGAGAAAAAGTCTTCTCCAGTCAGAGGATACTTTCTTGAAAGTTTTTACCCCCCTTTTTTTACGAGACAACAAATGACACAAAATTGAAAAACAAACCAAGACACACCGTACCCCGCGCGGCGCGCGTCAACGAAACCCTGCCGCGTTTTGCGGCGGTAGCTAAATCCTACGGAGGACAAATTACGCAGACCTGAATGTCATCATTCCATTATTCAGATGCAAATCGTCCCCGAAAGCTCCGCCTTTTGGGACTCGCTGCGCTAAACAAAAACAAAGGGCGACGCGCATTGACTCGACCGTCTGCAGCAGGCGAGGCCAGGCGAGGCCAGGCGAGGCGTCAGCGGCACCGGCTGCCTTCTCGACTCCGGATTCAGACAGACAAAGCAGGCGGCAGGCAGCCACACCGACCTGGCGCGCCCCCTTTGTGCGCCCCCACCCCTTTTGCTTTTACAGCTCGGCACGCCACGCCACGGTCAGGTGATTCACACTGCCCTTTTCATGTAAATGGTTGTGTTGATAGTGGCGACGGCGGCGCTCTGGCCATGCCACGCGCGGGAGGGTAAATATTTCCAGTGCCATTGAGTGAGTCGCGTTGCATGGGGCTGCGACAGGGGCTGGGGCGGCGGGGGCTGCAAGGTGGAGCGGGCCAAGAATTATGGATGGGCGTCCCGGGCCGTCACCCCGCTGTGCCCAGCCGGATGTTTGACCAACAGCGCGAGGTAAAACACGGCAACGCCACTGCGAGGCCCGGCTACACCCAGCCGCATTTACGAGATGAGCTCAATTACTTCTTTTCATCGAGGTGTGCGTCTTAACGATCGAGGCCTGCGGGGAGGAAAACACCGTGCGTTCAAAGAAAGGAATTGTTAAAAAAACGACCCCCGGCTCTGCTCTGACTTGACTTTCCTACCCTCTGTTGTTTTCCCTTCCGTCTCGCATTTCCCGATATAGCGGTTTAAAATATTCATGGGGAGGCAAACTGGAGTAAAAGGAGCGTTAGAGAATGGAAAGCGGCACCCACCTCAACGGGAAAGGGGATGGGGAGGAGAGAGCCTGACGAGTGGATCAAGTTGCAGCCGCGGGTTCAGCGGCAGGCGGGTCTTCCCCAACTCTTTCAACTTGGCAAGTCCGGTATATCCCCAGTTATGAGTTCCGCTCAAGCAGCAGTCAGATTGCACCGTCTGCCCGGCCACGCGAGCGCGAATGATTACGCCCGCGGGTAGGCGTGTTTGCAAAGGTGTGTGCGTATGAGGCATACCCCGCATGTGTGACTCGATTACCGACAATGGAAACGGGTGCCATAATACGGAGCCAGAGATGATTGCTGATTAGAACAAATGCCATCGCGGCGGGCTCCCCGCCACTGTAAACAGCCAGGCCACTGCAAACCCAACGCGGTGTCGCCCAGGTGAGGCGGCCGGTGCAAACGAGCGACTCGAAAGACAAATTGGCTGATCAGAAAGGTGCTGGCGCGGCGCCACGCGAGAAGGGTCGCGCGGCGCGAAACGCAGTGTGCCAGTGGGGTGGGCTGGCCCTGAAAAGGCTGAAAAGGGAGAGCGGGGGGCGAGTCTGTGTCGTGCTCTTGCTGGTAAATCGGCAAGCGACGCGCGTGAATTATGACTTGGGTCCCCGCCCCGCCCTCGCCAAATGAGAGTCGGCGGCACGAGGCGCGCGCGGCGGGGGCGCGACTGAGGACTCTCCGCAGCAGCAGGACTCAGAAGGTGAAGGAGAGGCGGTCGCGGGGGAAGGGGGGGGGGGGGATCGGCGGCGGGGGTCGCATCGCAAGGAAGAGCAGCGCGGCGTGGCTAGGCGGGGCTGGGCGTGGCGTCAGGGAGGGAGGGGGCAGTTATATTGGCACAAGGCGCCCATTGTAGCACGGGGAGCGCGGCGAGCACGGCGTCTACGACCTTGCAGCAGCCAGGGCCCACCGGTCGCCGCAGGCCCGCGCATACACAAACACAACGACAGAGACACACTACACGCTCACGGACACAGACACACACACAAGCCGCAGACACGCAAAACAGCGGGAAGGGACCGCGGCATGCGACAGAGACTGGTAGTTGGTTATTTTCGGAAGGGCCGCGCTCATTTCAATATGACGTTCATCCCGGCCGTGCGGCGCGACGGTGGCGGCTGCGTCCGCAGATCCCCGGCGGCGACCCTGCCCCGCCCCGCTGTGCCCTCCCTCGGACGCGGTCCTCAATACGCGGTGCGCCGGCCCGACGAGTAAACAGTGCTGATGAGGGAAGTTCTCCAGGCGAGACAACCGAGCCGAGACGCCTGGGCCCGCTGGGCTGCACCGCGGCCCGGCTAGGTTGGCATGCCTGTGCTCCGCTGGCTTCGCTGGCTTCGCTCTGCACCACACGACCGCCGCATAGTTTACTCCGCCTCCTGTGATTGGGCACGGCAAGCCGGCAGGTTGGTACTACTGCTTGGCCCGGAATGTGGTGGCGCCGCCAACTTCGCAGTCGAGTAACGGTTTGCGATTACGCAAATCACTCCCCGGGTAGCGAATTCCACGCGAACACTATCAGCAGCCGCAATTAGCGGAAAGGAGGCACCGCGGCACTCACCTGCACGCTCATGTTGAACGTCATGGCCACCATGGCCACCAGCATGTCGGCGAAGGCGAGCGACACGACGAAGTAGTTGGTGATGACGCGCAGCTTGCGGTGCCGCATGACCGACACGATGACGAGCAGGTTGCCGAGGATGGCGGCCAGGATGATGAAGCCCATGAGGGCCACCTTGACGACGAGGCCGAGCGTGTCGGCCCATTCCTCGTCGGCGGGAGCGGCGGCATCCTCGTCGAGGGCCACGGCCGTGGCGCCACCCGCCGAGTCGTTGTAGTGCGTGGCGTTGCCCAGCCGCTGCAGCAGGGATGAAGCGGTGGCCGCCACAGCCAGCGTCAAGCCGCCGGCGTCGGGGAGGGTGGTGGCGGTCCCGGCCGGCGGCGGCAGTGCCGCACCGGAACCGGGTACCGGCAGCGTGCCGCCGGCCGACAGCGCCGCGGCCAAGACCGCGGACAGGGCGTCGTGGTTGTCGACGAGTACGTTGCTGCCGTGCGGCGACATCCCATACTCTTGCTCGCGGCGGGGAGTGGGCTAGTCCCGGGACTCATAGCGCCGCGTCATGGCCGGGGCTGGCGGTGCAGCGCCATACAACGCCGGGGGATGACGGCCGACTGAGCGCGTTGGCGACGCGCGGTGGTCACCCTGCGCGCGTGGCGGCGCGTGGCGGCGCGTGGCGCGCGGCGACGACGGGAAGGACGGCGACAGCTGCGAGTGGGCGGCGTCCCCCGGCGTCCCCCAGCAGCGCGGCGCCGCGACGCGAGATTAGTAGCCTGGCGAGGGCCGCTGTCGCTGAGGCTGCCCCTGAGGTTGCCGCTGTCGCTGGCGCCGCGGCTGCGTCAGGACGCCTCTCGTTTTAGCGACTTTTCGTCGCAAAAAATAACTTGACGGCGGGACGGCGGGGGCGGCCGGGGCAGAGTGGCGTCCCGTCAGGCTGAGCGGCCTCGGCCTGGAGCAGCGGCAGTGGCAGCAGCGGCTGTGGCCCGGGGCTGCTGGGGCTGCTGGGGCTGCTGGGGCTGCCTGGGGCCTGCGGTGCGCCGGCCGCATCTGCAACGAAAACACAGGCCGAGTCAGCAAACAAGGTCAACAGGCAGGTGGCGGGGCTCCGCGTTGTTTTGGGACCTGAAAATGGACTAGGGCAGTGGTGGTGGTGTGTGTGTGAGTGGCGGTTGCACTGTCGCGCCTTACACCGAGACTCAGAGAGTGCCAAGAGCACGGTACCATCGCGAACTCTCTGAAAACGTACCCTCACCCGCCTCCTGCCTCGCGCGGGGCAGTCCTCCCTGGCAGTGGATGCCCCGTCGGCAGCAGGGATGCAGCGAGGGGCTGGTGCAATCAAAACCGGGTTCCATTCACTCGTTTGACACTTGTACGCAGCGCCCCGCCGCGTCGTCATGGGGTGGCAGAGATAAGGCAGTCGCTCCTGCATCACATCAGGTGCTGTCTGTCTGTCCAACTGTCTATCTGTCTGTCTGACTGTGCGAGAGGGGCGGATGCGGTTTATCTGATCCGCCCTGCCCTGCCAGCGCGCTGGTTTCAAAGTTGGGTCTCCCGACGTCCCGTCTCCCTCGCACCCGCACGGGACACCCCGTGAGTGCGAGGGAGATGCCTCTCACTCGGACTCAGCCCGCAGTAGTGAAGGCAAGCTGGTGCCAGCGACCCCTCGGGGGTTCCCCCGCGACTTCCCGCTGTTTGATAAAGACCCCGTCAGCCAGGTCGCTGCGTTGCGGTGCGCTGCGGTGCGCCGTGGCGCCCCGCGGCGGCGAGGTCCCCGCCCCGCCCGCCCCGCCCGCCCCGCCCGCCCCGCCCGCCCCGCCACCGCAAGGCAGGTGCGAGGCGACACGGAGCGACAAGGAGCAACAGCGAGTCACGGCGGTCTCCATGGAGCGCCTGCGGAGTCGAGGGTAGGCAAGCCCGCTGGACGCCAGCGCGCAGCGGAGCGCAACATTGCCTACGCCCAATTACCATTACCACTAAGGGCCCGCAGGCGGCCACCTCCCACCCAATAGCTGTGCGACTTAACTTTATTTCCAGAAACGTATTCCCACGCGCTGCCCGGTACGTCACGATGTAGCTTTTCCGCATACAAGCACGCGAACGAACTATGTACTTTGCGGGTGGTAAACCCGAAGCTTGTGGCCTCCCGCCGGGCCGCACTACGCGGTGCGGCGCGGTGAGGTGCGGGTTCAACGTGACACCAATTACATTACGCGCGGTTCAGCCAAGCATTAGGTCGGAAGGGAGGTATCCGGAGGGGGATCGGGTCGAGCAGGGCGAGCAGGGCGAGGGCGCCTGGGCGCCGCGTCGGCACCGAGACGGGCGCGCCGGCACGGCGGCAGCGTCTCGCGCCAAATTGATTCCCTCACAGTGTGCACCGTCATAAACAATTTTCACCAAGTCAACCACTCATTTTTTCCCACCTTGTTTATGTTTTCGTGGTGAGGGCCTGATACTAATCTTTACAAGTCACGTAAAAAAAGAGCGGTTATTTCTATGTTCAAACGAAATTGACCGGTTGTTTGCCTGCAATGGGCTCCGCTTTTGGGACACTGCACCGGGGCGCGCCTCCTCTCCATTACGCCCGATAGTGTAATGCCGGTTAATCACGGAGCTTTAACGTTATTATTTCCGAACCTAATTGCCGTTCAGGTGGAGCGACATGAAAGCAGCCCACGCACTGATCGCGCCGCCCGGCCGGGTCAGCGGTTAAATCGCCCGGCTTGGATTAATCTCCTAATGCGACACGCTGTGTGGAGGGGGAGGGACACAACCGGGTCCTTCAGGGGCAGAGGGAAAAGGGGGGGGGGGGCACTGTGAGGAAAAAGCAAGTGTCGCTGACACAACACGGATTTACACGAGAGCGTTGTGCGAGGCGAGTGACGGCTGGCGCATGGAAGAAGCGACGAACTACATGAAGGACGCACATGACAAAAGAACCGAGGGAGAGAGAGAGAGAGAGAGAGAGAGAGAATGAGAGGGGGAGGAGAGAGGGAGATAAGGGGGAGGGTGGCGCAGGGACACCTCCTTGCATCGGTAGCGCTTCGCATGGATGGATATAAGCCCCAATTTTGCCACCCTGTCTCTGTCGTACTTTGGGGGAGTCCCGTAGGGTGAGTGAGAGAGAGAGAGGGAGTGACACTTTGGAAGCACGCGGCAGACGGCGGCGCTGCGTGTGATGGACGCCAAAACGATGCTTGATTAGAGGCGTGCGAGGCGTGCGTGGTCGCGTGTGGCACGGCGCGGTGCGTGGCAATCAGGACGGAGTGCAGAAGTCCGACTTCCGGCCCGTCGCCCCGCCTCTCTCGCACCCCTACGACGCGGCGCCGCGTGAGGGAGACGGAGCGATGGAAGCACGGTTTTGTATCAGACTCCAGGCCTAGCTAGCGCTAAGGCTTATCGTGCCGGTGACGATGGATGCACGCGGTATACACCGACCAAAACTTCGCATGCGAATTTTCTAACCAAAAATTCACTGTGTCAATTATTATCCGCGTGCATTGGTGCCCGCGGACAAGTGAGCTAGTGGCGTGGTGAACACAACAACATTGCGGCGGCTCGTCTTCCGCCACAAAAGACCGTCATTAAGTGGTGCTTCGATTTGATTTCCGCATCATAGGCGGAGCGTTTCGCTGGCCACACGATCACGTTTTCTAGCCGACTCGGGCAGGCGGCCCACACAGTATTTATTTTAACTTCGGCGTTGGCGCGACGGAAAAACACACACACACACACCACGGTGCTTTGGTCGTCACGGCCCGTTACCATAATGCCGCGACGTACCTGAAGCTAATTTCATTGGTGGCCGGTAAACAACCCCCACCCCCTTCGACGGACACACCCACGGCGAGCCGCTCTCGGCGCGCTGCTCGGCGTACACACACACACACACACACACACACACACACACAACGCGATTAGCGCCGTGTTGCTTTTTGAGCTTCCCCGCGGCGACGACGCGCGGCGTGGGCGGGCCGGGCGGAGGCTCAGCGCCGAGGCATCGCGGTGCGTCTATCTGGAACGGGATTACCACCTGCCGCCCGCACGCAGCCTGCGCTCGTGTGTGAGTGTGTGTGTGTCAAAGAGTGACGTGGAGGGGTGCGAGGGGAGGGCGTCAGGGGCTGCCGCCAGTGTTGGCGTTCCTTGCTGCGGCGGCGGGGCTGTCGGACTGGTATGCCCCGGCCGCCATACGCTGGGCCATCCGCCGCCACTGCCCTGCCCCTCCGATGAAATTTACACCCCCTGGCTAATTTACGAGCGCCCTAGTTGCGATGCTGGCTGCCGGGGCGCGGCCGGGGCGCGGCCGCGGCGTGGGCGGCACGCGTCGACGGGCCGGGCTGGCTGCGAATAAAGAATCGCCGGCGTGATGGCCGGGGTTAATGAGCATCAGGGCCAGACAGGCCCGCCAAGCAACGTCCGTCAAACAGGCGGGGCGGGTCAATGAAGCGGAGTGTGGCGGCGGCTGCCAGACAGCCGTATTCTGTATCACACACGCGTACGCACACACGCGGCCCGGCCACCACTCATCGTTCGGCCCGCGGGACACCTGTTTCTGTCGGCCCGCGGCGCGCTTCGCTCGTCGCTCGGCCCGGCCGCGCCCGGCCCGCTCGGGGCGCGCTGAGCTTGCGAGACGCGCGGGCCCCGAAGTGGGTCATGGAACTCGTCTTCCTATTTTCGGCGCCCCGGCGGTGGCACTGCCGCGGCAAGCCCATGGCGCTGCGGGCAGTGTGGCGAGAAACTCAATGGGCGAAATGCACCGCGGTGCACCGCTATGCGAACGGCCGAATTTCGGCAGTGTGCTGCACCGTGTGGACGCACTAGGGTAAATCCACTCTGAAATTTTCAGAGTTTCTGAGACCACTAGGGTAAATCCACTCTGGATTTTTAGAGTTTTGTCAGAGTTGCAGAGTTTTGCTCAGAGTTTCAGAGTTCAGGTCAGAGTTTCAGAGTTCAAGTCAGAGTTGCAGAGTTACGGTCAGAGTTTCAGAGTTCAGCGTTCAGAATAAGTCAGAGTCTCAGAAACTCTGAAAATTTCAGAGTGGATTTACCCTAGTGACTCTGACTTATTCCAGAGTTATAAGAGACTCTGAACCAGAGACTCACGAAATTCGCGCACCCCAGAGTTAAAAGGCCAGAGTGTAATCTAGAGTTCAGAGTCAGAGTGTTATCCAGAGTTTCTGATGTCAGAGTGTTATCCAGAGTCTCTTGTCAGGGTGCCAGCATTAAGTTTCAGAGTCTTAATAATGATAGAATATCTTGAACAGTGCTTGGTCTAGAACTGCCTTGGAAGTGTCCCTAGGGGCTAAAAATCGAGTCCGAGCCGAATCTGCAATCCATTTTTCGCTACCATCAAATGTACCTCAGCATACCGGGCCAATACTATCCGATCAGATTGAAATTAAAACTGTCCTAGTAAAATAGTCCATAGATGACACCTACCAATTTTCAATCAAAAATAACAAAAACTTCCCGAGTTATGGCTTCGTCAATTTGGAAATATCTAACTCTGAAACTCAGACGATGGCTCAAACTCTGAAACTGTGAACCGGACTCTGGAACTCTGGATTGAACACTTAACTCTAAAATCAAGGACTCCAAAACTCTGCAACTCTGACGCTGAACTCTAAAACTCTGAGCGTAACTCTGCAACTCTGACGCTGAACTCTGAAACTCTGACCGTAACTCTGCAACTCTGACTTGAACTCTGAAACTCTGACCTGAACTCTGAAACTCTGAGCAAAACTCTGCAACTCTGACAAAACTCTAAAAATCCAGAGTGGATTTACCCTAGTGCGGCAACCTAATTACACCATCTGCTTTTTTGCGCCCCGCCACTGAATCAGCATGACCGGTACCTGCCCGGCCTCGTCGCTGCTCGCGGCATTGTCCGTCCCGATGCCATTGTCACGTGGAGGGAGAGGGAGGGGGGGGGGCATGTTAGTTTGCCGAGCCCTCGCATTGGCAAAGGGTTGACAAACACACACACTGGGCAGGCCCGATGAGGCGCACGAGGGTCTGCGCCGTAATGAGTCGAGTCCTGCTCCTTGCCG